TACAATCAGGAGTCAGAAGGCGGAATAAGACTGATACCCGCAAAACTGAGGCGCCACGCGCCTACTTGCCACGCATTTCCCTCCACATTCCTGCTTAAAATCCTCTGGCTCTTTTTCGGGTGACCTCAATCTTTTGTTCGATGCGTGACTAAAAGGGGGTGGCGGGGGTCAAAGGGGGTGGCGGGGGGTCAAAGGGGGTGGCAGTGGTTTTTATTTTTTTTTTTTTTGGGGCGGTATCTTTCCAACTGTGACTTTTTCATACAACAACGACAACTTTCGACTGTTTTACAGGACAACGATCCACAAAAAAAAAGAAGAACAAGGAAAGTTAGGAACCGAATAATAAAATACGCTTGTAGATTGAATATTTATATGACAGCTTTGAGATACTTTGCAAAAACTTTGCCCAACTCTAAAAATAGCCAGACTACCCACTTTAATTTGAATATTTTGAAAATGACAGGAGTCATTTAGTTGGTTTTTTTTTATGTGTTATGTAATCTAAAACAGAATTTCAAAGAAGTATCCAAAAATATTCATCATCTCTAGTAATAGCACAACCCACACAATATGGCATTATATTTCACAGCGTTGCAAACTTCTTGAGAGTAATATAGTCCCATTTTCCGAGGGTATAAGCCCTAAGAGCAAGCCGGCAAAAACGTAAGACATTTCTTTCCTTATCCCTGAGGAAGTGGCGTGGGGATTCGCTTACAAAGATGCTTTTTAAATGATTAAACGCCCTGAATTACCAAATTTCTCTCATGTCTTTTTGGTCAGGGCCAAGTTCTTTTGCTTTGCTTTCTTTGTTTTTTGCCTTTTTTTTCGCTGGTGTTTCAGTTTTTATTTCATTCTTGAGTTTTTTGTATTTTCTTTTTTTTTTTGCTGAGATATCATATGGAATGACATTAAGTCGAGCGAAACAGCACGCAGCGACTAAAGAAGCTCCCTTCTCATTAACATTTACCATTTGGGCTAATCGATTTGAGTTTTGATTTGATTTTTAGCATTTTAATTCGAGCGCCATAAAATTAAAATCTCTTTGGGGGAAAAACGTTTAATATGGAAACAAGATGGCATGCAAAGTGTTCGCACAAAATACTTGGAAGTGTGGGGCAGCCAAGCAAATAAAGTGAGATGAAAGAACTTTGATTTGATTCCATTTGATTGACTTGAGTTGCAGCACAGTTTCCTTCCACAGCTTCTTGTCAGTTTAATTAATATTATTTTGGGGATTGACTGAGTAATTTTCATAAATTTATTAGATATACTTTGAATTTGCAGGTTCAAGTTAAATATTTGATATTTAAAAGAAGTATTTTATTCAAATAAAGTAAAGTAATTTACACATTCTTAGGGACAAATATGATTTTATTGTGTTGTATTTTAAATAACTAACTAACCAACAAAGGATAATGCTGTCTTTTAACTATTGTGTGATCAAAAGAGTTTGGTGTTTAATATTTCTCCACTTTATACTATACGTCTGTACAATCCTCGTCTTTAAACACAATTTTCTCGCGAGACAAGGAGACGTTGAGAATTTTGTGGAAACTACGAGAATTCACACGCAGTCGAGGGAAGAAAAGTTCTCAACTTGTCACGGGGTCCGGGACTTATCAGAAATTAAAAATTATTTCTTCGAAAGATAATTTCGTCTGACATTTGCTTTCGTTCCCCCGCAATCCAGAGACCCAAAACGTTGCAAACTTGCTGACATGAAGTCATCAACGTGGCCCCGACTCTTTTGTGGCCAAAGGAGTGGAAATTGTTGGCCAGGTCAAGTGGTTGGCCGTGAATGAGCGGAAAAAAAATTATGAGAATGGAAATGGAGAGACAATTGTCATATGAGCAAGAGCATGACAAAACTGTTTTTCATTTTTTTTCACCGTTTTTCTCTAGCGAAGCGAGGAAGAAAAAGTTTGCCACACACAAAACAATTTGTCGATTGTCAAAGGGGAAAAATTCGAAAGGGAAGGGAAGGGGAAGGGGAAGGTATGTCCATTTAGTTAGAATTTTTTTGTTCAAACGTTTATCGGGCCAAAGCAATCAAAGTCAAGTTACCATAGGCGTCCGCCTACCCCTTTTCCTATTTTTAAGCCCCCTTTTCTACTATATGTCTCTGCACAGATTGAAAAATCGTTTGGAAATATAATATCATCAAAGAGTTTATTTCTGTGCTCAGTGGCAACTAACAGATAACTACGGTCTTATTTAGTTTACATAAATTGTGTGATTTTCTTTGAAAAATGGAAATATAATAAATAAAGGAAAATTTAGTTGAGCAAAAACACTTAAACCGTTTTTATTGAAATTGAAATCTACGAGTTTAAATGAGAAACTAAGATACATATTATTATTTTTTTTACTACAGTAGAATCCTGTTATAACGACTCCGCTTATAGTGTCCGTCCGGGTATTGCGACGAAAACTCGATGGCTTGATTGGTCCCCAGACAGACTTATACACTTAAATCCTTCTGCTTAGTGCGTCTTCCGGGTATAACGACGAAAAATCGTCGGTCCCTTGAAAGTCGCTATAAGCGGATTCTACTGTATTTCAATAGCTTTACAATAATGTTAACCATCAAAATGAAAAAAAAAAATTAAAACCATTTTGGAATCATTGTTGTCAATATACAACCAAAACAATTCTTACACAAATTTCATTGTTTTCCCGACTGCTAAAATGTAATAAAATCAACTTCAAACTTACTCAAAAGTTTAAACCAAGAGAGCAACCTTTTTTGTTTTAATTTATTTTACTTTTCATAACGTTTTCATCTTTATTTTCCGTTTATTTTCATTTGTCGCACGCGGCGACTGCAATAAAAGTTGAATAAATATAACCTTAAACGGAAGACACCACAGCAAACAAACAAACAACTGGGGGAAAAAAAAAAAACAGCTAAAGGAAAACAGTACAAAATCATAAAGAAAAAAATTAAAATAATAATAAAGAAGAAAAATGAAACTCAGTTGAGGCCCTCGGCTATTAAAAGGGGAAACGGAGAGAGAAAGAGGAAACCCAGAAAGCTATTGGAAGACTTTAACTTGGCCGATCCAATGGAGGAAACTTAAACTTAATTAATAACTGAAACCTGGCCAAATTCAGGCGAATATACTATATTAGAAATCATTTATCGTGCTCTTCAATCTTTAGTCGTTAACAGTACGTCTATCTGTCATCTCTGTGTCCTATATCTTTTCACCAGACTCTTCTTCTTCTTCGATTTCCTCTGTTGCAGACATTGTTCTCAGCGACATTTACCATTCAACTTCATTTGGCCCGTTCATATACATAGTTTTTCTTTCATTCCGTTTATTCCGTTTCGGAATCTCCCTTTTGTTTTTATAGCTTGGCCAGGTTCACATAATTCTTGGACCTTTTTTAATTCCTTATTACAGTTAATGGCGATGTTAACTAACTTTTTGTGGCTTGCCTGATTTATTTGAGCATCTAAAAAATGTCGTTTGAATTTTTCTTTTTTCGTCATGAGTTTCCGTTCCCGAATTCTTTACAGCTTCTTCTCGTAAACTATTATAGTAAATACTTTTTAAAGTTTTAGTTTATTTCGTTAAAAAAGAACTTAATTTTTTTTTTGAATGAACTCATCTTGTAAGTAATGAACATGGCAAGCAAAACAGTTGCGAACACAAATGTTTTAGAGCATTAAATTGTACAACTTTCTGTTTTCAAACAATATTTTTATTGTTTTTTCCCAAGCCACATAAAAAACAGTATAATTTGAAATGCATTTTTTTGTTTGCTTAGTTGATTTTCCTCACCCTTGGAAGTTTATTGATCTGTAGCTAAAATAGACCGCAAAAATGGAAATTTTTATTTAGATTCCACTTAATTGGGATTCGAAATGGCTGTGGCTCATTAGCCCCAAACGCCCCCTTCGCCCCTCCAGCCACTGACACCTCTTATGCAACACATTGCCAGGCACTTAGTCTGAATCCCCTCTCTGGTCCCGCCCCTGGCCCAGCTTCAGCACCCCCAGTGCCCCCATATGCCCCACCCCCACCCCCCCTTGCCGCAGGCCATTAAAATGTCATGCACTTGGCGCAATAGAAACTAAAACCAAAACTGCGCACCAAGTTGGCTAAATCGAATTTTATGGGAGTGAAAATGGCGTTTAACAACTGGAACTCTAAATAAATTTGTGTATGCCACAAAAAACTGTAGATTGGCTTTAAGTAGTTTTTGTTTTTTAACCAGAATTCGAGCTACATATAATTTTCACAAATGAAATCTTAATGGGTTTATTTTTCGTTAAAAAACTGGGTGACAGAATCTTAATGTTAAAGGAGCTGACAAACAATAACTATCCTATTTTATTGATTAGGCAAACTTTTAAAATTTATACTTGTAATGCATTCTATGTTGTGCCAATTGTTTTAATTTTAATTTTATTTAATGCATAATACCCAAAGAATTTTGTGATGCATTGCAAGAGTATAGGTGAAAATTAATAAAAAGAACTTGACTTAAAAAGGTTTATCTATTTTCAATTATTCAAAACATTTGAGTTTTTTTTCAGAACTCACGTTTTAAGAGTCGGTGCATTACTTTCGTTACATGAAAACTACTGTCACTAATTGTTTCAAAATTTTCCAATTTACGTTGAGTTGTTTTTTCAATTTTTATTTAAAACATTTACCAAATTCCTTGTAATTTTATACCTTAAAAGGTTTGAAAGTTAGGCTGCAAAACCCAAAACATGATGCACAATGGGAACAACAACAACAACTAGAAAATATGCAGGGTTTTGTTAGAAAGGAAACCACAAAACAGGGAACAATATTGTAATGGAAAAATGCACAATAAAGAGCGAGTCAACGAGAGAGAGAGGATCTGATCCTCTTGAAAGAGAGCATTTTTCTCCCTTCGATTTCTTTCTCGCTTGCGCAAAATGCAAGTGAATGGTGCAGCAGCAGCAACAAAAACACAAAGCGATTTTTACCGTATTCTTCTAGTCCTCTTCTTTCGCTCACCTTTCTTCCTTTTTTTTTCGCTGGTTAAATTTTTTCGGTAAATATGCAACTTTTGTTTTGTTTTTTGTACTTCTCGTACTCTTGGCTCTTCACTTTTGGCACTGGCTTTTAATTCTCAGCTTTATCTCCTTGAATTTCTCACTCACTGATTTGATGGAATTTTTGTATTCGTTTTGGGGACACAGTAAAAAAATATTGAAAATTCTGCAACTTTTATATGTATGGTTTATGCCTTTTCGTTTTGCTGTTGTGTTGTTATTTTCGCACCGAAAAACCAGGAGCAAACCGAAAAGAAAATAAAAAAGCGCAGGCGAAAACAATTCGATGCTCGATTTCGATTTTGGGGTATTACGAATTACGAATTACGAGAAGGCAATTGCAGAAAGAAGCAGAAAAAGGAACCGGTTTATTTAACAATTTCTCCCTCGCTCGAACAGGCACATAAACACACCGACGTACAGCAGCAACAAAAAACACACACACGCGCGCGCCGAAAGGCCGAAAAGCCGAGTTCCGAAAGTGGATTTCCTTCCCGTTTTCCGTTTTTCCGTTCTTCGACGCTCTCGACACGTCCACTGCGAAGTCCAAATTCGTTTTGAAAATTTGAAAATTCGTAAGGCCCCGTAGCCCAGGTCCCACACTTTGTTTTGAAAACCGGTTGGCTTGCAACCGCTCGCGCAACACGTCGAGGTTGCAATCGAACGACAACTTCGGGCAGTAGTTAACAGTAGCCGAGGTTTCTGCCTCTGTACACTTCGCCATCCGATTTGAAAGTACTTTCCACATGAAATAATATGATTACATTTCATTTTAACTATAACTATCTTTTAATTTATTTTTGTAGAAAATATTTCTAAGGAATTTAAGCTTTATAGTTCCTGTGAAATAAAAATTTGGTATATTGACCAAAAAACTCATTTTTTGGGCCAGTGTGCACTGTTCATTGCATCCAACAATTCTGTTGAAAGGGGCAGAGCATGTTCGATCGAACACTTGCTTCGCTAGAGGTCGAAGATCGTACCGAACTTGTATGGCGCCGCGCGAGCGAGCAAGGCTCTTAACAGTGGTTGGGCAGAGGCTCGAACAGAGCCCGCTTGTGTTGCAACAGGTTCCAGGTTGGAGTTGCAAGTGTGGACCGTAAAAACTGGAGTTGTAAGGGAAAATCCAAATCAACCAAAATAAACTAAAAATCAAACGGAAAACACGAAAAACAAGCTGCCGCCTCAGTTTCTTAATGTTTTTTTGCACCCCATGATATTGAGAAAAAAAGGGTATATGTAGCACTTAAAACAGGGGAAAATAATTTTTAGGATAACCGGCTAAAAATTAATTTACATGTAATTTCTTCTTAATTTTTATGTTTACACAAAATTATCTATTAATAGAATTTATAAATTTTAGGTTTGTTGAATGTGTATGCCTTAATACACATGTTTTTCTTAGGAACAACAATTAAATAAATAAGCATGACTTTTGTTCATGACCTTTTATTTTAAATTACTATTTACGCTAATTAAATAGAATTAAAATCCGATTACTGGGTAACCGGGAGTCGGAAAATGCTCCCATGGAATTGTGACTTGTGTCAATTTTGTGGCTTTATTTGCTGTCGGCAGGAGTGGACGGCTAACCGGTTCAACAGGATGCAGGAGAGCACTGCAAATCGCTAGCAAAACAAAACAAAAGTGGGAGAAAAAAGGAGAAGAGTTTTCTGTCTGTCTCTGTCTCTGTCTCTGTGCTTCACCATTCGCCATCTCGCTCTGGCTATCTCTTTGCATTTTGCCAAAGAGCAAACCAACCTGACAACAATTTTCGCCACTTCTCTTCCTCTTGGCTCGGCCAAATGTAACTAAAATGGCAAACAGAACCGGTTGAGGTTCGTTCGCCCAAGGAATGCACAAAAAAAAATAAATATAACTAAAGCAAGTAACAACAACAACAACTCCAGCAGCAGCAGCAGCAGTAACAAGAACAACAACAACAACAACAACAGAAGCAGATACAGCAGCAGAATGCAAGGCAAGAAAAAGTAGCAAAAGGCGCAAGGCAACAACTGAAGAAGTACAGACAAGCCTCTGTAAAAAGAAAACTAACGCAAGCAGCTCTTTTAAACTTGCTTAAATAATTGTTTTTATAAAATAATAATTAACAATGATAACTACAATTATGAAATGAAATTAAAAATTTATTGATAAACAAAAATAACATTAATAACGTTCTTACTTATTTTAAGATGTAATGTAAAAAATTAATACTATAATTATCATTATCTTTACAAGTCCAAGTAACACTGTACTCCGTGACTTCGGTCAGTTAGAGTCGTTGGCAACCCCCCTGCCATTTGCCCCCACCCCCTCGCTGGTCATGCAAAAAGAAAACCAAAAGGAATGACATAAATCTGCGTGGCAAACAAAAGACTCAGGCAACGAACGTGCCACAAAAGCGTGTTGCAACAAAAGCTCAAAAGCCTGCAACTGGATTACTGTTACACGAAAAGGTGCGAGCGGGACAGCGAACGAAAGGGGGGACAGCGATGAAGAGAGAGAGAGAGGGAGACAACAACATGGGGTCAAATGTTGCGGTCCGCGAACTTTTGTAGGTGAATTGACTTCTGCTCGAGTCACCCCGAAAATGGTAAATGGGTGGGAAGCAATCAGCGGATGCGGCAAGGCGGAAAAGAGATAGCAAGTGGGGGGCAAGGCAAGAGGGAGATGGCATCAGCAACGGGTTTGCAATGCAAAAAGGTGTTGAATAATAACATATATTACGTTGTCTATACCTTCAGTTTTTTGTTTTGTAAGGCGGTTTAGCACTGCTTTTGTAAAAAGTACAAAATGGTTTACATTTTTATCTTGTTGCTCATTTTGTTGATCCATATAAAACAAGTGTATAAATAAGTATACTAAGTAAAATTCAATCACCTAATAATTAAAAGAAACGGTTAACATTTCGAGCATATTATTCATTTCCTACCGTTTATATTTTTATTTCAGGATAAATAAAAATATGAATAATGTTTTCATTAATCAAATGTTATACATATATAAAACAACAATTGACAAAATTTAACTTGTATTTTAACTAGTTGAGTACATCTAAGTTTACGTCTAAATTAATTTCAATCTCTAAAAAAAGAAACCCTACAACACAAAGAGCAGGAACCATTCATTATAACCAACATATAATTAAAACAAAAAATATAGAGCCACTTAACCGAGTCAAAAGTTGTGACAAATCTGAGTTTTAATTGGGGTCTCTCGCATATCATATTTCGTTTAATGAGGCATAATTTGGGGCAAAACTGAATCAAATTTAAGCTAAGCTTAACAAAAAATGTAGTTGAACTAAATGTGCTAGCTGATATTTGATTTATTTATGCCAGTTTTTTAACCCTTGACCAAGTGGTTTTTTGTCACAGTTTTGTTTTTTATTTACTTCATACCTTTTTCAATTGTTTCCTAGTTTTTCATATTAGTTGCTTAAAAGTTTGAGCTCATTATTGTGAAAAATAAGTTCACCAAAAATGGATCCTGAATTTTATTGGATATTGTCATTAATTTTGGTTTTTATCTTATTAGGGAGTTGTACATATAAATGCCATGCCTCTCAATCGGCAATCGGCAATCAAATTAAAAAAGAGCAATAATATGGAACTGCACAATTGGCATATGCAACAAGCCCCCGCCTTCGATTCCCACTGCTATTTGCTATTTGCTATTTGGGTGACCATTTAAGCCTCATTTGGAGGCCGAACTCTGAACTTTATTGTTTCTGCTGGCTGGTATTTTCGTATCACTCGACGAGTCTCATTTATTGTTCTGCGGTTTTTGTTTTCCTATCGACTGTGGCCCGCTTGCCCGTTTGTTTCGCTTTTCTTTTCTTTTGGCCACTTAGAAGCCGCCACACAAAACACTCGGCGGCACTCGGCGCAAATTTGCTGCGCACCACAAAAAAAAAAAAAACAAAAATATGACCCGAAATAAGAAAGAGACAAGCGGCAAAAAAAATAAACAAAATGAAAAAACCGCAAAATAAATAAGACGAAAATTATGCAAAGCGCAGACAAATGCGCAAATTTGAAAAATGCCACAGCAACAACAATGGCAGCAGCTGCGCTTCAAGAAATCCACCCAACCCCCCACCCCCCACTCCTCCCTCCCTCAAGAAGAAAAAAAGTGCGGGCCTTACGACGCAGAGTTCTCATTGCATATTTATCGATACTCTAATCGAAGAGGTTTCTTCTTCTAACTCGATAAAAAAAAATTGGGCATTTTAAAGGGTTTGGAAATTATTTCAATTGTTATTCAGTAATTATTCAATAACTTAAGATATTGTATATAAATTTTACAAATACACTGTGATATAAACACATTTTTTTTTAATATTGTAATTAAACAATGAAATGAACTACTATCTCTTACTCTTAAAAATTTTACACTGTCTTTACACTTTAACATATTTTGAGATCTCTAACTTCTCTAAAAATTTAACTTTGATAAGTTAAAGATATAATTATTTACATTATTTTTTTTAAGTTTTAATTTATATCTGCTAAAGTACAATACAAATCTTTTAATTTTCTCCAGCAACTAAATCGATTTCCCCGAAACAAACCCAAACTTGAGATGTACGTGTGAATATGTGTATGCCAGCTCACTTCGCAATTAGTTTCCCCAACTGCCCTTTGTTACCTATTACTAAAAAAATGAAAAGAAACCCACATACGAAAATCAAGTGTTCAAAACAAGAACGAACTTTTGAATACACTTTAAAATCAGTAGTTTAAAAGCATATTTGGAATTGTTATATCTCTTGGCCGAGGTTCGTTTTCAGTTTTGTGTTTCGGTTTTCAATCTTTTGGCTTTGGCTGTGGCTGTGGCTTCGCCTCGCTTTCGGGTTAACTTGGCCAAAATGGGCGGGGGCGGGCCGACAAAAAAGGGCGTTGCTGCCGCTGCGGCCCGTGTGTTGAACAAATATTACTCATGGCTCTTGGCCTGGCCCGATCATGTTGAACAGCATAGCTAACACCCGAGAACAACGTGACGAACAACGAACAGCGAACAACCAACGGCGAACAACGGACAACGAAACGAGCGACGAACAACGAGCGGCGAAGTCGGCCAAAACCCAAAGTCGACTTCAAGTTGTGCTGACTGATTGTCATGGCACGATAATGAAATAACATTTCCATACCCTCACCGAAAGATAGTCCCTGCATGACTATATAACTATTTTCAGTACCCCACAAAAGTTAATTGAAATGTTGGGCAAATATTAATGAATGGGAGAGCAAGAGCTATCCATATTCAAATGAAATTCTTGAGAGAAAAACAAATATTCAAAATGTTTCATTGATTAAAGGTGGTCCCAAGTATTATAATCATAATAAATATCAATATCCAATGAAAATAATAATAATTGATTATAATTTGTGTACTAAATACTTCATGGTTTAGTAATTATTCATTGGAGATTTTTATAAAATAGATGAGTTAATTGTGTATATATATTTTTATGTTATATATATATACATATAAATATCCCCATAAACAAGTTCTTACCAACCCAAGATAAATTATAACAGCAAATATCAACTGTGATGTAAATA